AGGCCATGGGCGTCTGAGGTCTGAAGCTCTCTGCTTCAACTTGCTGGGGCCAGGACGGTATCAGAACCAGAAAGCAGCCAACCGCTTGCCCAGTCCTGCGTGCTTTGATGCTGTACGGTCTCTAGCTGCCTACTCAAGGTTTGAGGCTGCTATCTAACGCCATCAGGTTGTAGTGTAGCTCTGACTTCATACAATTCGATCTCTCTGTCCAGGACCAAGCAGCCCAGCTCGCAGCCACCTGACAGAATGGCAAGGAAAAGAAGCAATGAGGCAATTGCACTTTCAGCTCGGGATACTCCAACTGGCGAGTTTCAAGATAGGAGAACAGTGCGGGGTGTTTGCCTATCAACTGCGAACTTCAAAGTCAGCGGGAGAAGCAACCGCACGTGGGAGCGATGGTCTGGAGGCCTTCCATGAAAGGAAAAGGCTCAGTTGAGCAGAGATTTGTTGGGATGTCCCGAAAGCGCGCATGAAAGGCAGGTTCTTCAACTCCCAGAAACAAACTTTGATAATCTCTGATCTTCCAATGAAGCAGGTCTTCCGACCGTCACACAACCTTGATACATCCCGCGCCTTGATGTATGCGACACAAAGAATTGCCAGCAGCATCCTTTCGCGCGCACGCTGCAAAGGCTACAGGTGTTACGTGGGGGATGAACATCGCAACAGGATCGGTTGAGGCTCCCCGACTGAATGATGTGTTCGTTCGCCCAACGAAACAAAAGAGCAATGTGCAATGCGCCAGCTTGGCCCACAGGCATACCTCAGCCGGATTCAGTCGCCCCTCCAACCCCTTGATTCGCGAAATGTCATTTGCAAGCCAACTGCTCAGAAACCTTTCCACGAAAACTGCCAGCCCCAAAGCGGCCGCATGGCCATGGGTCAAATCCAAATCGTTAGCCCCCAGTGAACATCAACCAATCCCCACTAAAATTAGACTAGTGAATTCACCTACCAACCAAAATGGGATCCATTGGTTTTGACCCAAAGCGCCACATGGCCCTCTGTGCCAAGCGGCCGCCGCGCTGCCGGCGCTGAGGCAGCGCCGGGCGCCAGGCTCGAAGGAGACCTCGAGGGCAGGGCGCCCAAAGGACGCCTTGCCAACCCGCGGGCACCAAAAAACGAAGCACCACAGGGTTCCACTTTTTGACTACCCTAGGGTAGACTTAAACCCAGGGGTGGGTCATTACCCCCGAAGGGGAACCCCTGGGTTTAAGCCTATCTTGGGGTAGTCAAAAAGTGGAACCCTGAAGCACCACACTCACGGCGTGACGGCAAGGGGCAGAAGTCACATCGCCGCCATGACGGCCGTGGCTCCAAACAACCTCCAAGCCGTGGGAAACAGCAAACATGTTCTAAACAGACCCCGAAACAGCCACACCTTGAAGAGGCTTACGTCCCAAACAGTGAGGATACCAGATCCTGATCAGAAATCATGCGCGAGGAAGTCAACCAGTGCCAGCCAAAGTGATATTATGGACGTAATCGAACGGCACTGCTTTGCGTGAGTACGCGCTTAGGGCCATGGAATGAAGTCCATGGGATGTTGAGGGTGCTTTCAGCAAGGACCACTTCCAATGCTGCAAGTGCAAGTATACGAGGAAGCGACGGAGAAACACAAACCTAATAGAAGAATGACTGTGAGCACAAGCATGAAATTGAGCAAGACCTGCGAGCATAAGCGGGAGTGAGTATGAGCCCAAGCGTGAGCGTTAGTGTGAGGTTAAGTAAAAGTGTGCAAGTGTGCGTGTACCCTCTCAGCAGCCAAGCGTCCTGATGCAGTGATGGCCTCATCTTGCAACGGACCGCTAGATGTGAAAACAGGAGAAACACATCCTGTGCAAGCTAGTTGCTCGCTCGCTTGCCCAATCCACGTCGGAGCAAATCAGTTTTTGCCCTTCAGGACATGCATGAGTGCATACCTGCAGAGTTCAGCCAAAGAGCACAGTGGTGACATGACAAGAACACTCTTTCAGCAACTGCAAAGACTCTGTTTCTATCTCAAGTACAGCATACAATGTGCTCCTCTCCCTGCTTCAACGGTTCAGCGCCCCCGACGCCTGAACTGCCTGACGGGAATAGAGGCTCCAGAAGCGCAGGCCGTCCATCAACCCAGCCGTGATGGCTTGCCTGGCACAGGTTACGAAGCGCGGCGCATCAGGCTCCATCGGCAGACATCAGGCTCCATTCCTCATGGAACAGAAGCACAAACGAAGCACTAACTATCAAAACATCTGCTGTTTGGCATAATAAAACCAGATAATTCGCCTCGGCCCCCAGGGGGCAGGGCGTTCAGATCTCGTTTTTCAAAGGGAACTAAGATCCTGTCCGGCGGCCTTGAAATTTTCGGGGTTCGTCGGATGCGCTGAGACTCACCAAAACATAGTCTTTGACCTCCTGCTGGCCGCCTTTCAGTGCGATTCTTCACCTGTTGATGTTGGTGGCAGTGCTGCATAGAGAACTCCCCGCAGATATGGCCCTGGAGGTCTGTCCGTAGCGCAGCTCTGGGGACTCTAGAAATAGGGCAAGGGCAACGACAACCAACCAGCAGCCCAGCCCGCCCTGTGTGCTGGCTCCATGGCTCACTCCTGGTCCTGCGCATCGCCTCGCCCTTGCCCAGATTCCTGCGGGCCCGACATCAATTGGCCCAACGATGCCAGAACCTGTCCGTGCCTGAATCGCCACTTGACCAGCTCTGCTGCTTGCAGTCGAACCACAGACGCTGCGCGCTCGGGGCGGGCAACGCGCAGCGCCAAATCCATGCTCCAGCTGCCTTTCTCGGCCCCCAGCCTGGTCACCCTTGCACCCAGCTTCAGGCTTCGATGCAACCCGCCCCAGGCAACCCCTTGCGCCCTAGTTGTGGCCCCCACATAGTGTCGAGCCCCAGCCAACTTCACTACCCCCAGTGAGCAGCTCAGCCCCCAGCCCCAGTCCCTAGTCAAACCCTCTACTCCAGCCCCAGGATTTCTCTTTCCAGGTAGGGCCCCTATCGGAAACGCGTGAGCATGAACCCACCATTCATCTTGGAAAGCTCAAGCTTTTCGGTGCCAACTCACTCATGAAACCACGGGACTTCAAGGCAAACCAAAACATCGCAGTTCCAAGCCAACCAAAAGAATCCGGCTGATACTGGCCGAGGCGGTCTGCTCACGCCAATTTCCCCCCCCCAAAGCATTAGATAAAGAATGGCTGAAAGACTATGAGAAAAAAGACCGATGTGGATCGACAATGGATACAAATGTGTTATGTATATGTATATGTATATGTATATGTATATGTATATATATATATATATATATACATATATATATATGTTTATGTTTATATATATATATATATATATACAATACATACTACACTATGTTTGCAACAAACTGTCTAATTGTTATGCACAGTGCTTGCTTACAGGCGTCAACTGGGTATTGTTTTCGATCAGTAATCGTGCTTGCTGACAGCTTCTTCGGTGGCGGTGCATGAGTCACTTAACACAATGCACGCCGGAACTGGGAATTTGCATCGCTGTCTTACGCGAATTTTCACCCTGTAGGGTGCGGTGGAAAACCTCTTGGATGCCAGGTCATCTGTGGACCTGGCGCTGTGCTGGTCGCACGCCTGCACGGCGAAAAGGATTGCTCGCGTGGCTTGGCACCTTCGCTTCATGCGATAGCTGCGGCCGTGGAGTCACTCGTGTTCCAGCTGAGCTTCCTCTTTTTGGCTTCCGTGGGGTACTTCAGATCCCGGGCCAGGCCGAAGAACTCCATGGCCCTGATGGTGTACCACGTCATGTCGATCTGCCACCACTTCAGGCCGTGCCGGCAGGAGTTCTCGAAGGCGTGGTGGTTGTTGTGCCAGCCCTCCCCAAAGGCGAGGACCCCCACCAGCCAGTTGTTCATGGAGATGTCGCCGGTGTTCCAGTCCTGAAAGCCCCAGACGTGGCTCACGGAGTTCACGGCCCACGTGACATGCCAGGTGAAGACCACCCGAGCAAAGAAGCCCCAGAGCACAAAGGGCAGGCCTCCCCACATGTAGAGCCCGACAATTGGAAGCACAATGGCGTGCAATGGGTAGGTCTTCTGCAGGAATCTGTAGTACCACTGCTTTGACAAGTCCTCCGCATTGCTCTTGTCCACCCTCATCCAGGTGCCCTTCTGGTCCAAAAGCCAGCCTGCATGGGCCCACCAGAAGCCATCTTTCGGAGAGTGAACATCGTTCGGTGAGTCGGTTGCGCCATGGTGGTGACGATGAGATGACACCCAATTGATGGGATGACTCTGCATGGCGAGGCATCCGCAGTATGCGAGAATGTATTCGACCACCTTCGGTGACTTGAAGGAAAGGTGGGAAAGTTGGCGATGGTAAGACAGAGTGATGCCGAACATTCCTGTCAGGACATAGCCGAAAAAACCCACGGTAAAGGCACTCCAGTTGAAGTAGAAGGGTGCAAGGCACGCTCCTAGGTGGATCACTCCAAAAAGAAGTGCATAGGAGAAGTCCTTCTTCTCCCACACACGCCTGAAATAAGTTCGGGGCCAAACTGTGTAGTCCCAGAACTTCCGGTTCCGCACGCTGAAAAACCTCTGTCCTTTCTTCCCGCCCTTCACCGCCTTGCTCCCTTTCTTGCGCTCCTCTCGGACAGCATCCGCCTCTGGCGGGGCCGCCAAGTCCCGGAGAGGCTTCTTCTTCCCCTCCGCTGCTCGTCCCACTTTGCTAAGCTTTCTGGCCGCCAGTGCTGTCACAAAGGCAGCTGCTACTGCCCAGTGAGGCTGGGAGGCACCATCGGTGGACGAGGCACCATCGGTCCTGGACGTCTGGAAGCCCTGCACCAGAGTCGATGCGGCAAGGCCTCCATTGGCCTGACTCTGACGTGGCGGGGCGACAAAGTCAGTTGAGAGCTTTGACAGCAGGAAAGCCACTCCCAAGAGAGCGAAGGCGATGATGCGCGATGTCATGCGCTTGGCTCGATGGAAAACTGGCGGTTTCTATCAGACCGCTATGAACACAAGATTCGCCTTTTCGCCCATGTATTTGAGCCAAAAATTCTTGGCACAGGTGTGAAGGATTTGTGCTTTGCTGGCAGGTGCACATGATAAAGCATGCAACATGCAATCAAGAATCTGGCCAAATGTGCAATGTAACAGGTCCGGGCGGTGCAACAGTCGAATGCAGAGTCCGACATGCAAACATGGCATGCGCGAACAAGCACAGTTCGGACAGTTCGGCATGTCTCCCAGCCTTCTCTCCCAGTTTACCAACAAGCACTGAACAGAGCTGGTATGACCACGAAGAACGCAGCACCTTCGCAGGGAATCACAAGCAACACCATCAGATTGTATCTATGCACACACGGTCGCACTTCCCTTCTCGAGCCCCACTCACCGGTCTCCATCTTCCATAATCGAATGAGACGATCTCGGCCAGCACTGAGGGCCATTTGGCTCTCCCAGCAGACTCGCACCACATCCTGGGCAAAGCAAACAGACTCGTGTTCTCGCAGTCTGGCCATTGAACGCTCAACTGACAACTCAGCTGAACGAAAGCCTCAAGCGCCGGAAGCGAAATCGATGCAGCCCCAGCATCTACACAACTTCGATGTCCGCGGAATGTTTTCATCTTCTTGCCAGATTGCACGTTCCAAAGAAGTAAGCACCCAGACATCATGCCGACGAGCACAAGATCTGCAGGGTAAGCTGCGCTGCCGTTGTCATGATGGCCATGTGAGAAACTCAAGGATGTTTGCAAGCTGCAATGATTGAATTCCAGCCTTCAGACCAACAAACGGCAAGCGCCTCCTTTGAACTGACACCTGACCGGTCCATTTCGGTGTCCTGCAAAGACTTGCCAACTTTGCGGCTGCATTTCCGCAATGCCAGGTGCAACATGATCCAGAACATGCTGAACGTGCTTCAGGATTCCTTGGAGACTCGTAGCAAATGAAGCGAGTCATCAAAGGTTGCCTCCGCATTGCCCCACAAATAGAGCGTCCCATCCTGACGGCCAGCACATAGACAAAGTGACCCCAGAAATGACATGAGTATGTCTTTGGATGTTGTTTTACGGAAACACCGAAGGAAAAACCACCATTTCCGGAGTCCCCCGTAAAACACAAAAAAATCTCTCCTCCAAGCAGCAAAGCAATCGGCGCTTCTCCCAGTCCACAAAGAGGGCAATGGGACACTGCGGCTGGCACAGCGAGCATCGCAGACCTTCCGACTTCCGACATGTTGCAATGTGCCCAAACGGCTGCTCAAAAACATACCCAAACAGCCCCCTTGGTGGAACCAAATAGCCCCCTTTGTGCAACCAAAGCCTACAAGCTGCGGTTTGCCCTAGCTATCCTAGCTCTTGAATTTCGAGCCACACCCAAATTGCGGCAAGGCTGCGATGTATTGCCTCCCTGCTATCCAGATCCCAGAGCGTGAGAGACCTGGGCTGATGGGCCGCGGAAAAAAAGAAAAAAAACTCTTGGCTGAGGCTCAAAAACCGGTACCAAAATGGAACCCTGGTAAGTGGAAACATGGACCAAAACCTGCGGTTTGCCCCTCCTGTTTCATTTTGAGCCACACCCTCTTGGCTCGCAAAACCTCTTCGACTCAAAGCGGCCCATCAACGTGCGCGGCATAGGCGAAGCCCTTGCGGCGCCAGACCAGCGTCAGCGCCAGCCGGGCGCCCTCGAACGTCAGGAGCTGCGTGTGCTCTGGAAGCGCTTCGCTGCCTGCTAAGCTATCAGGTCTACAGGGATCCTTACATACACCTTTGCAACTTGTAAATGGTGGTTTCCCTTTATTTTGGTGCTGAAAAAGCCACATGTTTCAAATGGTTGCAAAATGTCCAGCATCGCACGGACAAACATGGACTAACCTGGGAGTGCACAGACCTCTCAAATAACGAGCACTGGGGGCACTTCCGCGTTTGGTGATGGGATGCTCGGGAGAAAACGCGGCAGTTGGGCCTTCGGAGACCAAATGGAAACGGCCAGGTACTTCCTCCAGCTTGGCCTGCCGAGCGAATGGTCATTCTGCCTGTCTTGAGATGCTCTGTCGCCATACGTACGAGCAGTCAGCTAGCTGGCTTTGATTCATGCCAGCTTCCTGACTGTTCATTGCGGCATCAAACTTGGTCGCAACATCCAAGTCGAAGATCCCATTGTAGATAGGTATGATGTTGCTGCAATCATATTGCCTGCCTGCCAAAGAATACCTGGCCGCAACCTTCACTTGAAGTGCAGGAAAAGCATTGTCTAAGTGGACTAGCCTCGTGCGTCTGGCAAACAACAGCATGGTATGTTACAATACGCCGGTGGCTCAGAACTGCAACACCACCAAGATCGGAGGTGCTGCGACCGCAGACCCCCCGAAGCATGCGCCTCATGCATGTGTGGCAATGACGTTGAAAAGTGCAGTGGTGCCTTGTCTTGAATGTGCAGCATACGTTTGAAGGTGAAAGGGGCTAAAGTATGATGCAAATGGCCCTATTGTCCGATCTTGGAGCGCTGTGCGCATGTGGCCTGACCAAAGCAACCATCACCAAACACCCACCATTCCCGAAAGTCCGATCTCGGTGGTGCTGCCCCTCAAATCCAAACGTCTTGGGCATTGTTTGTTGTTTGGAGCTCTGGCAGTGCCTTGACATCTGCGATGGTGCTGCTGGGCGACATCTCGAACATTCCCAAGCAGTTGCCGCTCACAGCCCGCACCTGCCCAGGCACACTCAAGCCTCACCATCGCCGCAAAAGCTGAAAGGCTCCTGACTCCGAGCTCGTCGTTGAAACTTGCACAAAGTGGGAGCTTTGGGCTGAGAAAAGCGGATGTCGACCGGGCCAACCGAGCAACCAGCCGAACCGCCTCCACAGTGACCACCTCCAGTTTTCGCACTTTCGGACTTGCAACATCCTCCGCGGCACGCTTCATCCGCCCGGCATGGCGAACCGGAGAAACTGACAACTAGCTTCTTGGTTCCTCGGACCCAACCAAAAAATGCCCTTGTGCTTGCTGGAGTGAAAAATGGCATGATGATGGGTTTGTCTCGAGCGGGCCCAAAAGAGAGGTTGCTGAGTTGCTTCCATGAGCTCTGTTCCTCCTCAGTTTTACTGCGGCTCGCGATCGGTCTGTATGTAAAAATGCTTGCCTAGTTGCGGCCCTTTTCTGTGATCCTCGCAATGCAACACTCCAAGTGCATGAGTTCAGGTTCCTTTGTTCTGAAGCGATGACGACGATCTGTCGCATGGGGCAAGCCAGTTTCACCTGCTCCCATAACTTCGTGGCATGATACTGCCTGCGTCTTGCAAGCTGCAGAACTGGGAGCGCTTGTCACGATCGCGCGCGCAAAACAATAGAAAGTCATAGCTTGTTGTACAACCGCACGCGATCAGGTGAACTGAGCTGGATGGGACGTTTGCTGTTGCATTAAATTATATTTTGGCATGGCATGGAGAGCACTTTCCAAGAAGGGACTCCTCTCTTGGGCTTCGTACCTGGCGATTTATATTTGGGGCACAAAGCAGCCATAAGCTGGAGCACTTCATGTCATAGTGCTGCTCGTAGTTATTCATCTTGTACCTTTCCCATTTCCTGGCCCATTCAGGTAGCATGCCCAAATGCCATCCACTTGCATAGGATTCACAAGTATGATGGTAATAGGCTTCCTGAAGCACATGAATCTGCTTACGCGGGCTCCTCAAATCGACGTCGGCGAGTAGCGCGACGCAAGGCATGAGTATAAGGCTCACCACCTGACATGTAAACAATCAAGGCAACACGGAAGGCAACCAGCCCCCTGCCAGTGTGTAAATGATGAGCAGGTTCATGCCGCTTAGCCTTGCAGGCGCGCCCATCACAAGGCATGCCCTAAGCTGAGATCCGCGCATTCTGTGGCAGACAAGCTCCCTCGCGAAGGTGTCGTAGTACGGGTACATGTTTCTGCAAGAGAAGCCGGTTCCAATGACTGAAAATCGCCATGCCTGTCCAGGAACTTGAGAGATTGCCATTTCCTCTCGCAAATTCCTGAAAGAGCCCATCAATTTCTGAAAGAAGCACGTGGTGAATGTAAACGCTTTACGGACGGACAGGGTCGCCGGAAACATCAGCATCAAGTGATAGGAAGCGCTAAGCTTGCCGGTGAGAAGAATATGTAGGCAACATGGATGGAAGATGATGGAAGATGAGGGGAATGAAGAGAGGTGAGGAGAAATCATGGGAGCTAACGGGAAATGAAGATGCAAATGCAGGAAATTCAGGGGAAGGATTCCAAATAAAGGGACGTGACGGGAACTAAAAAGAAACGAAGGGAAAATTAAGGGAACAAAACGCAGGGAAGGGCAGGGTTAGCCCGGAGAGCTACCTCCAGGTATAAGGCCGTTTACGTCATGCTGTTGATCATGCGAAGATTTAGCTAGGATTTAGCGAGGATCTGGCGAGGACCTAGCGAGGACCTAGCGCAGAACTTTTGCGCTGTGCCCGCCACAACATGGGGCGAAGGATTTGCGGATTTGTACAGCCAATGTTTGACCATGTTTGTAACATCCTTATGCGACATCCTTCTGCGAAGTCAAAACACGAGCACTTTTTTGGGGGGTGCCGTAATGGACAGCAACCCTGGAATCACCTGCATCATGTACATCCATGGCAGACATTGATGCGGATGATGCAGGTGATGCGGGAGATGTTGTCCACCCCGGTGAAGGGACGTGCGGGGAAATGCAAGAAATGTGGATGGAAGATTGTGGAAAACTGTTGGAGAATGAATTGGGAAATAGAAATTGATGGACAATGAACGGGCAATCATGGGATGGGGGAAGGATGGACATGGATGGAAATGGATGAAAACTGGCAGGACATGGATGGCATCGTGCTGGAAAATTGATGGACACTTCATGGGCCAATGATGGAACATGTATCTGGAATATTGATGGAGCATGGAGGCAAACGGATGCAAAATGGATTAACAAATGATGGAAATGCGCAGAACTTTTGTGCTGCGCTATGGGGCGAAGGATTTGCAGATTTGTTTATTTGTTTGTGGCATCTTTCCGCGGGGCCCAAAAACGAGCCCTTTTTTTTTGGGGGGGGGGGGGGGGGCGCATCCCCTGCATCCATGGCGGACATTGATGCGGATGATGCTGGGGATGAAAATGTATGGAACATGGAATGGAAATGAGTGAGGTGAGGGGAAATCACAGGAACTAAAGGGAAATTCAGGGAAAGGGCTGCAAATGAAGGGAAGTGAAGGGAATTGAAACGAAGTGAAGGACAAGTTTTAGGAAGAAAACCAAGGGAAGGGCAGGGTGCCCAGTGGCCGTCTGTGTCGCGTCAGCGTGTAAGTACCAGGGCTTGCTATTGCGAAACCGAAACAAATCTGAACATCGCGTGCAAGCAAGAAAGTGATCAAACGACAGAACAAGAGCGGCCAACAAGGCCAGGCAGAGAAGATAGGCCTTCGAACAGCTCCAATGTGCCCCGTGCCTTTTTTAGGGCTAGTCTTACACACACACACACACTCGAAACTTCCCAGCGCACACCAGCAAACCGAAACTGGCAAACCGAACGGCCTCGCAGACATTAGCTCGCTCGCAAATTGCACTGTCCTTGGCTCTGAGGGTATGGGTCAACATCAAACCACCAGGGACCGCAGGTTTTAGTCCTCGTTCCCATTTACCAGGGCAAGCCCATTTGGGTTCCTAATTTAGACCCACTCCCATGTCGGCCCACCAAAACTCTCGCTGCAGAGCGGCTGCTGACAGCCTTGCAAGGCTTGAGAGGCGTTCAAGTTCTTGATGCCGGTGCAGATCATCTGGCCGCGGTATCTCATCGCAGCATCCCTATCGCTCTCAAACAATCCTAGCCTCTGCAGGCTGCACCGCCCATGAGGCGTTTGTGTAGACCTGCCGCGCCAACACGGCAATCAGAGAGGTCTTCCATCATTCAAGGCGCTCTCATGCAGCTCCGAGTTCGATCTGAAACCACCCATGGGTGCCCAACACCCTTCATTTCAGTGCAACCCCAGCCGATAGACAGACCTCAACAAGCAGGTCAAATATTTAAAGAAGCCTTTAACAGATTAACCGTCAACATATCAACAGTCAACATATCAAAATAGAGCCAGCTAGGGATTTCAGTGTTTGCTTAACACTGGCAAGGCACTGTGTACAATGCGGTGGCGTCCCGCTCCACATCTTCGATCATGGACATTATGGGATTCTCCTCAAGAGAGAGTTGATGCCTGTGTCTCCCCTCGGCAAGGTGGCAACAGTCCTGAGAACCAAAGACATAGTACTGGACAGCCCCATTCAGGATCGGATCGATGTTGAACTTAAACTTGGACCTTTCCAATCGCGGACAACCCATGAACCAAGACCACGAAGAGGGTTTAGTTCAGCGCAGGGATTTTGGTGCTTCGTCTGAGCAGAAAGGGAGAATTGCTACGGCCTTGCAGCACATCTTAAGAGGGATTGCACAAAAGACGGCCGCTCGACGTGGCTTGCTCTTGACAAATATGTTCAGTATGCTGGGCGGCAGGCAACTCTGTGAAATTCACCTCGGGCGTGGAAGAGATACCCCTTGTGAATCGCGCTGTGTGTCATGCACTATGCAGACGATTCAGAGCATAGGGGCCGAGCCGTGGTGGTAAGGCTGACCACCTGAATTGCCAGCGAAAGAAAAGGCTGGCTTTCACTGGAGGTGGTACCCAGGCTCGCGCATTGGCATCCAAATTCATGCAGAAACCGCCCGCCACGATCCCACAGTAGAGATACATCGCGGTCTTAGTTGAAGAAAAATCTTTGCAAGAGGCCTTGATTTGATGTAAGACCATGGCCAGCACTGTTGCTACTAGCATTGCACAACAGGCTCCTCCTGCTCCAAACCTTGCACATAGCTCTGAGCGCATGCATTGTTCGATACCAAGGTCCAGCCTGATGACAGCATCGTCTGCCCGCTCAGCAACCTGAAACCCTCAATAAACTCTGTTCACATGAACACGCGTCTGGATGCACGAAGAGTATGCCCGCCACGTTGGGATCTGGGCTCTGCCAGGAGAGCACCGTAGCGACCGCGATCGCCAGAGTCCAGAGGCCCATGAGGACCAGCGGAACCTGAGACTCGAACTCTAAGCTGTGAAGCGTGCTGAAGCTATGCTCACGGCCATCGGCACCAAGATGACCATCACCTTCAAGGACTTTCCCTTTGCAACAGCATGCCCCCCTAACAAAAAAAAAAAAAGTGGGACTGGGAACGTGGTGCAGCCAAACATGGTGCAACACTCCGAAGATCACTTCGCATGTCTTGTGGGATCCAGGGGTTTGAGAAGCTGGAGGCCAAACAAAAGACTGCGGGGCCCCATGAGGCCTGTCAAGAAAGGAAAGCTGACAAGTAGGAAGATCCAAGGCAGGGCGCCTGTCACAAGGACAAAGTATTGCTTTAGAAAAATGCGAAGATCGCAAAAGCGCGCGGGGTACACTGCGATGGCCCAGGAGGGCGCCCAGACCAACGCGCGTATCGTGGATACTGGCTGTTCACAACGATTCGTAACGAAGCTGCAGCGCAGCCCATCACCAACATAGAGCTAACTGGATGCAACATATTGCCATTCCAACGCGTGACATGAAGGATGATGGCTTGTCCTGTCACGACAAGTTGCCAAATCCATCGCAAAGGTTCATGGCGCAAAGCTACGGCAATGTGGTGCGCACCAAGGTGATAGCGAACACAACCCGAGTACGACATGGCACTGTGCAAGAACGTTGCCAGAGTGCGAACTGTCTCACTGCGCCCGCAAAACCACCCCGACAGCACCAATCCATCGTACCTCCACTACTCTTGTGGAAGAGCATGTTCCGTGCCGAATCTCTTGGAGAAATCACTTCCACAAGTGGGTGCGAAGAGTAGAAATATTCTGATCTTCCAGAGTAGCCCTACTCTCACATTCTGTCTATGGATTTGAGCAAGTGTCCTTTCAGTACAAGTGTAGCACGGGTTTGGCAGCTCCAACTGAAATCGCAACTTTTCAATGCAAGTGTAGTACGCGAAGTCCGCTTTGACAGCTCCAGCTCGAAATTGTAACTATTCAGCTGCTGCAATCAAAAAATGTGTGGATGTGAGGAAAGGCGCACACAAGGCAATGGCTTCGCAAAGCGTTGTTGTTTTTGTTCTCATCTTGTTGTCGATTTTGTTCGGCTATCAAGTCTGGCCTGTTTGCACCCAGCAAGCTTTGTTTCCCAGCTGACAAGGCGACTTCTCACGATCGTTGTTGTTTTGCTTATACTCCTTGTTGTTTTGCATTAACACTGGCAGTTTGGACACAGCCGAAGACTCCCGTGATGCGAGGCGGGGACGGTGCCTTGCTTCCCTTCTGGTGCTTTGGTGGCCCCCTACTCTCTCTCTCTTTCTCTCTCTTTCTCTCTCATGCCATTCTGGATTCTGGATGGGCTCGCACCACAACAACGTCCCCCGCCAAGGTCTATCGTGCACGAGTACTTGAATGGAAGGATGTTCATAGGGGTCTTAAAAGTCCCGGTTAGCTACCTCCCTTCCTGCCTGTTTCAGCACTAAACGAAAGATGGAATCCTTCTCCACCCATTTCCCACTGTTTGCAAGCCGTGCTGTTAAGCTTCACTATCCGTGACTCAGAGCTGGGCCTTCACCTGCCAGAAAGCATTGATCATCTTTGTCACCACCGAATGCGCGAGGTCAGCCACTGTCGAGAAGGCATCAACCTAACGCACTCTCCTCTCCTCGTTCTTCGTGCAACCCTTGGGTTGAGGATAGGCGTCGCAGTGGAATGCACGCCGGTGCCTTCTGCTTTAAGGAGAACAAAATCTCATTGGCCTGCGAACAGACAGTGGTTTTCTCAAAAAGCCATGCAGTCTCCTGCCTTATCTGATGCCATTCCCATCATCTCTTTTGCCCCTGGCACCCTCAGTGGCTGGGGGATCCTCAAAGAATGTCTTAAGGTGCTTCAGGGCATTTACACTACTTGCACACCTGCGTGAAAGCCTCGGCATGCCTACTGTGTTGCCAGTACGGCGTAGTACGCGACGTACACATTGGCAGCGCCGCTCAAAAAAGCACAACTGTTCATCAAAGTGTAGAACGTGAAGCACACCCCACCAGTATTGCCTCTGCAAACTGTATGTAGATTCCTTCAATTGATGAACAACGCGGCTGCTCTTCTGCACGCGCACTACACTCAAGTACTCAAGCTCAGTTTCCAAAAGATGGGTTGATCGTTTGTGCATACATCATTCAGCATCTGCATCGTCTGCAGCCACGCATGCACGCAGACACAATTACGAAAAAACAATTACAGACAAACACGCAAACACAAACACAAACACACACACACACACACAAAACAAAAAAACAAACATAAACTTACAAGACTGAAACATGGAAGAAAGAAAGAAAGAAAGAAAGAAAGAAAGAAAGAAAGAAGGAAGGAAGGAAAGAAAGAAAGAAAGAAAGAAAGAAAGAAAGAACAAAAAACGCAAAAGGAACAAACTACTGCAGAAAAATATACAAACAAACAAACAAACACACAAACACACAAATGAACTTAAAACACAACTGAACCCAACCCACTAGCTCCCTAAACACGAGCGAGCCGACCCGAGCCGAGCCAAACCAACAAACAAACAAGCAAACAAACAAGCAAGCAAACAAACCAGCAAACAAGCAAGTAAATCCACAAGCAAACAAACAAGCACGCACACAATAGACAAGCAAGCAAGCTGAAGAGCAAACATGCAATACATTGCGGTACAGTCCACTACTGTACAGTACTGTACTGTACATTACATTACACTCCACTACATCGCACCACGGCACAGTGCACACGTAATTACATACATGCACACCAGCTCAAACCAAACCAAGCCAAAAAGCTGCTTGCCTGACGCCTGTCTCATGAATTCGATCCCGTCCCCTAAATCGAGTGTGCAGACGATCCAATCCGACTTGCACGTGTATAGAATAATCTTCGACAGTCATTGACGACAAAGACTGCTCTCTGGCAACACAAAGAGAGGAAAAAAGTAGCCGATCCAGAATCCAGAATCCAGGTGTTTGCTCAACCTTCTCCCCATGGGATCCAGTCCTCATGACACAATGAGATTTGGTGTTTTTTATTGGCCAAGGTGCATGGAGTTGCAGGAAGTAGGCAAGTCCTTCACAACCGCCTCAGAGCAGAAGACTCATGCCAGACGTTGCATCCATTACCCCCGCCTCAAACTCCTCTGCCATTGTCTTGAGCTCTTCCCTTGGGAGCCACGCAATGGCCAGCCGACTGTCAGCTACATCCTTCAATCGAGGCTGTTGCGCCAAGCTGACGGCGGAATCGAGGCTTTTGTCAACCCTACCTCAGCAGGCTTCGTTCGCTGACTCACACCCTGACAGTGAATCTGAGACCACCGCTCATTTGCTCTTCAATCATATCCATGTTCTCGCCAACGACGGTGCCACCTCAAATCTTCACCAAACCCAAACAAAAAGTGTATGCTACAGTGACGTCTTGCAACTTTCGGATGCCCCGCTTGGACTGAGACCAATGTGCCACAAGAAGGACAGCCTTTTTGCTGGAGCTGAAAATGGGCTCACGGGAGTCTGAGCTTTGCTCAGCAAGCCCCAGAGCGAACGTTGCTTCGATGGCAGACAGCATCAGACCCTCACTGCCCTCGTCCTCCTGAGAGGCAAGAACGTGTCAAATTGAGTTTAGTTGATACTGCCAGTCAAATGGGTGTGGGTCAAAAAAAGGTACCCAAAATGGAACCCTGGTAAATGGAAACAAGGACTACAACCTGCGGTCTCCTGGTGGGTTAATTTTGACCTATTAGTTCGCATCAAATTGAGCTTAGTTGGGTGTGGGTCAAAATCAAACTACCAGGATATGGACCGCAGGTTTTGGTCCATGTTGCCACTTACCAGGGCAAGCCATTTTGGGTACCTATTTTTGACCCACAGCCAGTTGATACTGCCAGTCAAATGTGCAAAAGTGCCAAGGCACCTCCCCCAAAGAATGATGTCCACCTGCAAGCACCAAAAATCCCGTTGGTGATGCTCATTTGTGTTCATTTGAGGCATCCGCATGCGACGTAGTTGCCACCCTGGTCTCTTCAACCGGTCCAGCAAGTCACCTCAGCAGTCCATTGAAAACCTTCCAAGTGCACTCTTCTGAACGCATCAGTTTTGGTCATCTCTGCAAGCAAACCGTAAACAACCTGATGGCCTGGCAACGTTACTGCAGACAGGTCACCTGTACTGTCAATTGCTGGCCTGGCCTCGATGGTAATTTGCAGGTCTTGTGCATCTCCTGCAAGTTGGGTGAACGCGTTACATGGATACAAACGAAAGCGTTGCCTGCAGCTGGATCATCGTAGTAGTCAATGATGTAACGCACAGTGCGCTGGCCGCATCTGTCCTTGGTCTCGCTTTTTCTGAAGGAGAGCTGGTCTTGCAAGTCAAATCAATCGAATGCTGCCGTGGAGATTCGACAAACCAGTCATGACGATCAAAGGGAACTCCTCTGTAGGATAGCAGTCTGGACCACCACCCACCCCAGCTCAGGTCTTGCTGTCGCCCAACAAAGCGAAGCAAACTCGGCGTCCTTGGCTGCGGATCAGACGGCCTATTCACTTGCCAAGGGCCACTCAACTCAAGAGGCATCGCGAAATGAATCCCATGCAAGCCTCGGGCAGGACTTCTGGTGTAGTCGTTCCCAGTCCAAAACAGCCTTCCAGGATCTCTCATTTGTCACGTTGTGGGCATAGACCACCGCATCCATGGCCTGCCCAAGCTTGGGAAGTCCCAGATCTTTCTCCCAGATCTTTCTCCCAGATCGTGCCTCGGCTTCTGCCTCCTTGTTCTTGCGCAGCAGCGCGTGATAGAACCTCGTCGTCTGCGCTGGAAAGCATGCAAGCTGGCGGTACGCTGGGACTCTCTCGGGTGAGGGTCGCATCGGAACTGGGAACAGTACTCCGACATCTGCTAGAGTTCAGTCTGAAACCGCGAATCGGAGATCCAGACCGGGTCATGGTCAAACGGGCAACAACAAGGAACAACTCGCGCAGCGTGCAAACTTCAACTCGACAACCAACGAGTCCCAACCATCCATGTCTTTCTAGCCTTCCCAACTCAAGCAACCCAAACGCACACTGGTTAGCCCATGATGCGACACCATTCTCACCCCAACCGACCCTTCAACTTTCCCTAAAAGAAGATTGAACCCACCCTGAACCAAACCTGAGCCTCAGCTCCACCCTAAACCAATCCGATACCCTCCGTACATAAGCCACTATGCACACCACCCTCAACTCATCCTAAAACCTGCACTACCCAGCCCCGAAGTGATCGTACACCACCAAAATCAACCCTTAACGTGCTTGACCAAGTCTAAGCCCTGTCAAACCCTAAAATCACTGATAGCCGAGCACGACTCAATCCTGATACTGATCCACCAAAGTGCTTCGCCAAAGGAGCCTAAAACTCTCGTTTGTGAATTTCCACCGCTAACAGCGTGGAAGGCTCAAGGCTTGCAACGCGAGCATGCCTGGGACGCGCCCAGCGGCAAAAGAGCCAAACGTGTTCCAAACCTCCACTGAGAGAAAGGCCTTGCGACTGCGCTGTCCATTGGAATGCCTCAACAGTAGCAGCCTTGACCCATTCGAGAAACTTGAAGCTTGAGGTCTGCAGAAATCCAGATTTAGCCTTTTAAAGAAGGCGACAAATCCAAGACGCTGCTGGGGGGATGGATAGACCCAATTGCCGTCCTCTCCAGTCTTTGGGATTGAGGACACTTCACCTCAGACAGCCACGAAAAACGCGTCCCTCTGCGTCTGGCATCTTAGCCAAGCCACGCTGCTTCTTCAGGTCTGCGGTCTGGGAGGCAGCGGGTGTTTGAGGGAACTCGGGCATCATGTTCCTGGGATTAACCGCCTTGGTACTGGCAACAGAAATCTTCCAAAGGACTCAGACCGAGCTCCTGGCTTCTTTGGCCTCACCACGCATGGGACCTCGCAAGCTGAGCTCTTCAACGTGCGAAGCTCGCCTCCCGAGTCTCGCTTGGCACCCCGCAAGCGCCATCGGAGGCTTCCCGGCGCAGCGGACAGCCGGAGCCCGCCATGAGACAGTTCCAAAGCAAACAGGCAAAGGGCGGATGAGCGTTGGGAGCGTGGTGTTTATATCTCTGATCGGTTTGCGCTGGCGCTGTGAGCAAAAAGCACTCTCTGCGGAAAGTACGGGTGTAGAGAGATGTACAAAGTATCGCATCACGCTGAGCAAAGGATGCTATGATGATAGTTATCATGGTGGTCATCATCATGCTGGTCATCATCATGATCACCATCGTCATGATCATCATCTCCTTCTGCTCTTACATATATATATATATATATATATATATATAATTTCAGTACTGAGTGTGCAAAGGACTAGCCTGGGACGCCTGCGGGAAATGACGCCCGTGCAGATCACAACGACCTGGCCACCGCATGGGCCAACTACGATACGGCCTCCAGAACGCACTCGGATCACAGAAATGATCCGCGTCAAAAACCACCCAGGTGAGGAAACGGCCGTAATGACGCATAGAACCAGCAGTAGCACTGGACTCCTCAGAATTTCAACTCTGTGGAGGTGTTGGCAAAACTGGTGAGGCACGAGCGTGGGCATCCAGCTGGGCTCCTTGCATCAGCACCAAGTGCTCAGGGCTGGCACAGATTCTGGCATGCTTTGGCAACCAATTTGGTCTGTGGCTTCTTTCTTTTGATGCCTGCTATATGGTCCCATCACATTCAGAACGAGAGGATGCCAAAACCACAGATCAGGACAACCAGCTGACTTGCGTTGTGTCAGGTCCCAGGTTTCGTCAAGCGTCACACTCCAGCTGAAAGCAAATGAGGATGAACGTCAGGATTCCCTGGGCTCACATCTTCGAGCTGCGCTGGTCACGCGCATCAGGCAAATGGGCACCGATGCAAAAACACATCATCTCGAGGCAGCGGCTATGCAAACACCGACTACTACTAAAATCAATGGCCTGGCCAGGCCAACACAGTGTCAGTGTCTATTCAAGCGATATCAAGCTGTGCACATGCCGGCGGCGCAGCTTCCTACACCCGTCGAAATAGTCTTGCCAGTCCTGCTTGTCGGCCTCAGACAGTTTAGTCAGCAACGAGGTTCTGCTCTGCGTGGAACTCTTTGGCCAGTCACTTATCACATGCATAGGTGGCCTTGTGGAAAAATAGATGGCCCTGGTAAATGGAACAAACCCCATCTAAACCAGGGCCCTCTAGTTTTTAAGCAAACCAACCAAAAAGGACACCTATGATCACATGCTCTGCCTTCGAAGGCTCTTCCAAGGGAGTCACATTGAAGGGTGGAAGTTCCGCCCCCAAGTTGGCGAAGCGGTGGACCTTGCGCGGAGGAAGCACCGCTTCAGACTCAGACTCAAGAGCACGCCAGGCGCACCAGGCTGTCAGCCACATATGGCGGGGGTCTAGCGCCCAAAGCGCACGTCCGAAGCTTGCATTGCGACCTCGCTTTCGGCTGTTTCTTCGTGCTCTTTCTTGGTGCCACACGACTACAAACCCAGCGCCGCCATTTGGCGCCATTTGGCGCCAGGCTGTAGGAGCCCGGCCCCTCGGCGCAGTACCCCTTGGAGCAGAAACAAGTCCCCAGCTTGCACTTCGACGACCACCTCGAATTCAGCGGCGAGAAGGGGCCGATGACATATTGACTCAGGGGGTCTTGTGAGCATGGCGAATACGGAACGCCTTGAGGTGATACAGCAGGAGTTTCGGAGACTCGCAAAGTTGCCCGCATGTTGAAGACAAACTGAAAACAAACAGCCCCTAGTTCTACAAGGATTACTGCTGAATCAGAAGCACAGAAGGAATGGTTGCTCCAAGCAAGCTGTGTATGGGACAAGTGCACTTGGCAATGCATCAGGCTGGCAGTCTGATGAAACAAAGGCATGACGGAATTGCGTGGAATGGAAAAGTGGTAGATCTGTCCATGGCAATATGTGTGGCCGTCTTCAATTCCGCGCCATCCAGGTCGATTCGGCCGGGGCTAGCACGTGCACTCATCCACCCCAGGAATCATGCAGCTGCCAACGCCTTTGCTTGGGCAGTCCTCAGTTCTTGGTTTTCTTAAGTGTTAGCGCTTCAAAACTGCCTCATGAAAAGCCTTGTGCCATGTAGTGTCCACAAGATCCCCGCATCACAGACTGGCGCGCAAATTGGCCACTTGCAGTTGGGGTCGTCGTTGTACTGGCAAGGGACTAGGGATTGCATCCCCCGGAGGCTGTTCGTACATGTCGGTCAAGCGTGTCAGCTGTGCGTCACCTTTGGCACGAACAATAGACGCAGCTTCAATCGACTCTCGGAGAACTTTTTCCTCTTTCTCCTAACAGCTAGAGACTCAACATGCAAAGCACTCAAGGTTCCAATGCTGAAAGTCAAAGCAATAAGGTCGAGGATAGTCACTTTGCAAAGCCAAACACCCGCAAACAAATGCTTTTCCTCGAGACGAATCCTCTGAACACAGACGGTTGCACTATGAATCGCAACTCATAGATGCCGGCCTTATCTTTCTCACTTATTGCAAGTACTCCACCATGAAGCAGGATGAACCTGAGCTCTGAAGCCAAAAAATCCGCGCCGCAAATCAGCAAATTCGCAGCCCCTTGGGTCACAAAGCAAAGATTTCACGGTGCTCTTCGTCCACCTGAAGCTGGGCCGGACTGGGCCCCATACACTGCCAGCCGGAGCATGGCGTCCTTCCCGAGCTCTAAACCATGGCTTTAAGCCTCCAGAGTTTCCTTTGCGCCGGAGGCCGCACACGGCAAGGAGCTTCATCTTGATCAGTCTAGCACTCATTTGACTTAGCCCTTTGCCCTTTCGCTCAATGTGAAAATAACAATCAGCCTTTGCTCTGCTCATTGCCATCTTGTGATGGAATTGGAAGTTAGCAGTCACACTTGAGCCAGTTCCGGCAATGTAGCCACTACGTTTGCACTGGTAGAAGCCAGTTATTTCTTTGATTCTGCGATTTTTCTGCTCACTCGATACAGGCCAAGCATGCGAGTCCAAGTGGCTGGCTGACCTGGAGACCAAGGCGATCGTCACTGCTTGAGCTTCAGCTGGCCGTCTCCATCCGCAACGTCCGCTCCCCTTGCGCCGCACGGCCGGACCGGGGCGGACCGGGCGGACCTGGTACGTGCTAGTCCTCCGCGTTCTCGAGGCAATGCTTCAAGTCTCTGGCCAAATCCTGCGACTGGGTCTGCTGGTCAAGCACCCTCTTGATGTCAGTGTCCAGTGCCGCAAGTGAAGCGCCTTGGTCAGACGCACGCACACACGCGCACACACACACACACTACTCCCCTGCTAAAAGTTTAACTTTGAGTGGTTTAATGGAAACCCCATGAATTGGCAAAAAGTTAAAGTCCTAACATCCAAGCAGATTGCAACAACAAAGCCCAGTTCTTGTGTTAGCATTCTTCAAGCCCCGCTTTGCCACGATCGCAGCTCTCAGCTCCCAGCGACCTTGAGCCGCAAACTGCGAAATTGCGGTGCGTGCCAGCTGAATCGCGAGCGCGTGCTCGGCCGCGGCGTCTTGCTTTGCAGTCTTGGGCTTATGTTCCTCAGTGGAAATACATGAGATAGTAAGCAAGGCAGAGGGGTCTTATGGCGCGTTTGTTACATGGGTTTTCCAAAGACCTTTCACCCCCTTCGCCCCCGCGGACCAGGTCTGAGTTTTGCACTGCCAGGTCCACCATGGACCAATTGTCCGGCTCAAGTGCAGCTTGTCGGAGCGGTGCTTTGAGAGAGTCACCTGCGTGAGTGAGCTTAAACAACTAACATATGCTCGCAGATGTGGATCAGCCAGAAAAATGTTATGCGTTGCAAGGAAACCGCAAGTAGGCTTGACATGTGTGTGTGTGTGTGTCTGTGGTTTGTGCCTTCAGCTCGGCCTTCAATGGTCCAACGCGTGCCCGGCCTTCTCCTACTGTGCCTTCACGGTACCCAGGCAATGGTGGCACAGGCGCCAATATCTTGCCTCGGAACGGCAAGGTTGGCTTCGAATCAAAAGCTGTGGCTGTCCATGTCTAAACTTGCTGGTGCGACAGGTAGGGAATGTGGGGAATGAATCTAGGGATTCCCTTAAAGGAAACCACAAGGGATGGTGTATAAGGGTCATTCCATTTCTCATTCCCTGCCTATCGCACCAGCAAGTGAAGCTTCCTACTTCACCCCGATCCAATCTCAAGCCTCGTGCCGGCAGGTCTGCACGGTGTGGCGACCGGCGTGCCAGGTGTGCCAAACATGCCAGGCGTCTGCAAGCCCAAGTCCTGATGCGCAGTTGGGCACTCGCAGCAAGAAGCACAAAAACGGTTCTTTCCTGCCAACCTCATCTACGGCACATTGATCTAAGGTTGTGTCCACCCATACTTGCCCATTGTCAAGTTGTTGGGTCACTACCTGTGCAAGATTCGGATTCGGCATGATTGCCAAAG